TATTATGATGTTTTAGTGAATTTACTAACACTTAGTGTGTGTGTGTGTGTGTGTGTGTGTGTGTGTGTGTGTGTGTGTGTGTGTGTGTGTGTGTGTGTGTGTGTGTGTGTTGCAGCGGGCCCTCCACACTTCCATGCCCTTCACCGTGTTCTGTCTGAGCGGCCTCTCTGCCGGCTGCCTCGGCCTCCTGCTCCCTGAGACCCTCAACGGACCCATAGCTGAAACTCTGGAGGCGCTCAGCAGCCCGACCCACGGCCGAGTGCTGGAGAACAAGGTGACGCAACACGGCGCTGATAGATACGCACATCTGTAACACAGCTGTGAACTGAGGAAGCTGCATAGATGAGGACTGTCACCAGTGCAGGGGTCTAGAGAGTTGAGACCTTTCATGAGTCAAATGTCATGACTGACAGCTGAGATTAACACATGATGGCTCGGGTAGGTGTATCGGCTTGTATGACATCATCAGCACAAGATGGACGCACCAGTGTATGGGATATTTTGGCCGAGTGGGAGAAGAGAGAGATCCTCCACCATCTTTTTATCCAGTCTCTGGTTCAAATAAAAACCGTTTACAATCTGTGATCCACACCATCATGTAAAAATAGATAAGTTTGATCCATGCAGTCGTATCACAATCCATAAACACCAAACTGTCCTCTATCAAAAGCACTGGTTCATTCACATCCACACCGATTAGAATCAAGAGGCAGATAGATGATGGCTGATAAATCAAATATTAACATCAGTGTGTGTGAGAAGTGGCGCCGGTCCACAGGTTGAACTCAAATAAAGAACTTCACTTTACTGTGGCTGCTCATCTTGTTCACTAAAGAAAGTGAAAATGGCAGAAAGGAGAAGCTCTTCATGTTCGACAGCTGAATTTCTCTGTATTCATCGTTTCTTGTCGTCTCTTTGACTCCAGGCTCTTTTGTACGAGGACAACAAATGGAAATCAAACCACAAATGAAGCCTTCGGCCTTGTCTTCATCTCCGCTGCAGCTAAGAGCAGCGAGACAAGACTGTCCACGCCTCGTTCCTTAAGGACTGACTGCCTCAACAAGTGTGAAGTTTTCCTTCAGTGAACCCGAGGGACATTTCAAACAGGCTGGTGCCTGTTTCCTCCTGTTTCTAAGTCTACAGGACAGTAGAAACTCTGCCTTGAGTCGATATCCCTGAATGACGTAGTGGTGGCGGTGCCTTTATTTGGTGGCAGACGATGCGACAGGATGGATATGTGCCGTTTGTTAAGCTTCAGCGGAAGCTGCTTAAAAAGGAGTGAGTGAACAAAACACATCACACATTCTGAATTTAATCACATTCCTCGAAAAAGACTTAATTTTCATTTCCTGTGTGTCTGAGTGCGTGGTGGCGGGGGGGTCATCAGGATTTAATGTTGGGAAGATGCAGCTTTACAGCATCAGGTCAACAGAACAGGCTGAGGTCAGAGTATCAATGTTTTCAAGTCAAAGTTTTGTGAGAAACTAGATCCGACGTGTCCAGGATGTTTCCGCCTCTCGCCCAATGTCCACTGGGATTGGCCACTGCCAAAAAGAGTGATGGACTGCCCCCAGTCACTGCAAACTGATATCATTTAAGATTTAATGTCTCTGCCTCCTGTGCCTTTTCTTGTGTCACCTTTATTATCGATGAATCTACACTTTGGATGTCAATGGTTAAAAAAGAAAAATATGATTCCATGTTTATATTCATGTAATTAAAGAAATGAAAAACCAAGTGTTGCCCGAAATGTTTTATTTGCAGTCATTTTGTATGTTATATACAATCATAGATAATACCTTCTTTACCTCTGTCATCATCTTCAAGACTTAAACAGTTCAATACCACAGTCGCTGGCAATGAGATTCTTGGGTCACAGGATCTAACCGTGCTCAACAATATTTAGATAGATAACCACACAAGCAACAAACAGAAATTAAAATACATAATATAAAATATGGCTGAAGTAATAAAATACACACCTTATATATAAATTATAAACTAAAATGTTACTGAGAAGAATCAGTGAGAATGTTAAGTGATACTGATGAGTGGTAGAGCAAATATATCTGATCAAGGGTTTTCATTGATCATGTGTTCAGTG